TATTTACATAAAAAAAGGTGATTTTTTTTAAAATATAAAATCTACCGATCATCTAACTTCTAAATTATACATGATACAAATCTATAATTTTATAGATTATTAAGGTTAGTATTGAACTTAAATTTAAAAAAAAATTTAATAGATATTATTAATTAACTTTAAGAATTATGAGGGATCAGATACTTATGACCGCTACTGTAACTCTAACATAATATTTGATTTATAAACAAATAATAGATTTAATAGAATAAAATTTAATATATTTTGAAATAAAATAGAAGCTTATTTAATAAATAAGTAAGTTTTATATTTACTTATTTATTGAATATTTTTATTAAAAAATACTCTAAATTATTTAATTTATTAGAATTTGTTAGTGATAAATAAAAGATATTATGAAAATATTTTATATATACTATTAGTTTTATATATTTGTGATCTTTGTAAAATTATAATAAAAAGATTAAAAAATCTTTATAGTAATTCTCTTCTTTTTAATATTTATATTTCATCAAATAAGTGAATTCATTTTTAATTTATTTTACTATTACAACTAGTATATAGAATCTATGTACAAAATGTATACATATACATATGTGCATATTATTTTTTAGTATGCATATATTATATAATATAAAATATATATAACTAAAAATAGATAAATTACATATAAAAAGATAAGTTTATATAAAGAATTAATTTTCTTATTTAATAAGATTAAATTTTCCAACAATATGATCAATATTATATATTAGCTGATTTAATGTAAAATTTAAGGTATAAAATTATTATGCAACATTTTTTCAATATTTTAAAAATTTTGCATTCAATATCATTAATAAACTTACTTAATTTTAGCAGATGATAAGCAATTCTTATTAGAGAAGATATTATAGTTTTACAGATGTATAAAATCAGAATTTATTATAATTCTAGATGGTCTTTTGATTACAAATGATAATAATTTTATTAAGCTTTCATTAAATTTAACTGTTGTATTTTTTATAATAATTTTAATGATATTTTAGAATCATTTATACAGATCAAGTATTTGTATCTTATAAGGATACAATTTTCGAATCAAGTATTCCTATTAGACATTTAGTTAAATTTTTAAATGCACTTATTATTCAATACATACATCCTTTTTTTCTATTTCTTTTTTCTCATTCACCTTTTCAAAATAGTTGATTAGATGTTATTTCTCATTCTTTTAGGTTTTTATGTCTAGGACCTTTGGTTTTTCTTTTTCTAAATTGTTTTCTTTTTACTCTCTTGTTAAAGATTTTAAAATATGACATGCATTATATCTGATAATTGGAGGAGGAATACGACTAACAGAATGTCCAAATGGTTTGAAATATGGGATGATCAATAGAAAAGGAGGGAAATCTACAAAATTTAAGCAATTTTAGTTATTAAGCTAGTTTTGTTCACAAGACCATGATCAGCAATATAAAATTTTTTGACTAAAAAGTGGAATTCCCCCTTTTCTACTAACCGCCTTCCATATAACACAAGGGGTGTGTTTGATTTTTGTTTTTTTGTTTAATTAGTACTTTGTATTATCTTTATAAATAAAATTGAACTCTCCGAGTCATTAAAAAAAAAATAGTATAATATAAAATTTTAGTTTTTTACAAATTATTTAAGATATAATTTTTAAGTTCCTATACAATAGAAGGGGAAAAAATAAAAAATGAGTTAATGCAAAAACTCGACCCTAAAATTGATTTTTTTTTCCCGTTTCCTTTTCTATTTTGGTATTGATCGACATAGTTTCTTTTTAATTATTTCGAAAAAAAAAAACACTCTCGCTTATTGTAGAGTTTTACTAAAATTAAATATTGTCGACCATATTTCAAAGACAAAAATAAAAAGGAAAATTTTTTTTTTTAAAAAAGATAAAAAATGTCACAAAGTCGAGAAATAAAAGTTGATATTCAGGAAAACCAAATACAACAATCAACTCCCGATCTATTTCATCAACAAAAGAACGCTTCTCAACAAAACCCACAGCCATCAAAACGACATCATATTCGCCGATCATTCCATTCATATCCATCTACAATTCGTATTATGTATGGTCACCTTGTTTCACTTATCATATTTTTAGTTCGTCAATTATTTCGTTCGAATAATCTTCCTTTCTTCTTAACATTTATTTGGCATTCGTTCTTATTAAAGAGTCTTTTGTTTTCCTCAAGAAATTATTTAAAAAGGTATACTATAGGAAAGGATAAAAGAGATATATCACACGCGATTTCTGTTGATGTTGTTAAAAGATTAGGTGGAATCAATTCATCATCGGCTTTATTGGCTTTATTGGCTTTGATAAGATTTAGCAGAGATATGACAGCACAAAAAGTTGCTTTATTGGTTTTGGCTATGGCGAATGGCACACAAACTTGGTTAGATTTCACATGTTGGAAAAGTGGAAGATGGAATTGGGCATTATTAACAAAATTTGGTGGTGGAAATGGTACAATTGCTCTTGTTAACATCATTGCTTATGGTGTATCTGTTGCAAAAACTGGATCCATCTTATAAAATTTTAATTACCTTCGCTTATTATTACCTTAATCAAAAATGAAAACGTGAAATTGTAAACAATATTTCTATTTCAAATGTAAAATGACGGTACATCTTGATCCTTATTTAGTTGATTCTAGTGTTAATAAAAAAAAAAAAATCCTTGAAAAAATAAGCGGAAATTCTAAATTCTTGATTAATTAAATTCTCCAAGAAGCTTAATGTTCATCATCATCTTTTGTCTTAATTATTAAATACAAAAAAAAACTCGTTCCGTTTCATTTTTCATTTCATTTTCATTATTTTCATTCCAATTTTCTAGTCATTTACACTTACCACTTAATTCTATAAATAGCAAATATTTTAACCAAAGAAATTCCTTTTTTTACATGCTTTTTTAATCCCGTATAAATCTTCGATAACCGTCTTTGGTGGATACACATGAAAACGTCTAAATCCAAATATGATATCTCCAGGTCGAACAACCATTAAGTGTTTGGACGATAAATTCCTTGGATGACAAACTTTAGCAAATGCCTGTAAAATTGAAGGAAATCAGTCACATATCTATATCTCATAATAATTAAGATTTTATGAACCCTCAACTTACAGTTAAAACTCGAATAAGACTATCAACAACAATTCCATTTGTTCCCTTGGCTTTGACGCGTGCAGTCATTAATCCTCCCCAAGCTTGCATTCACTGTCTAAAATTTAGAATATGCGGTGATTATAGACGCATGTGAATTTTCATGCCGCAAACCTTACTGGGCCTACAATCTTAAAGTATTTTGTAAATTTTTTTTTTTACTGCCGAACTTAACTTTCATTTGTAAAGAAATTAATGATTTACCTTAGTTGTACAATATCGGAACATTTAATTCATCAATGCATTAGGCATCTGTAAAATCTGTAAGAAAACTATATTTGTTTTGTTTATAAGTATGAAAACGAGATGATGAATAAATTATACACATCACTCGCGAATTCTTTTAATGTACAAAATTTTTCGTATAAATTTATTCCTTTCATCTTGCCTTTAAAAAAAAGATTTTATAAATTTAAATGAATTTAAAAGGAGATTTTATTTATTTCGTTGAGTATTAAATATAGAAATTCTATGTATATTAATTAGCCAGCCAATTGATTTTTTCCAACAGTTTCCCTTCTTTCTATCGCAAAGCTCCCATATATACAAGCGAAATAGATAGAAAAAATACATAAAATATTATCATTTTTAATTTTTGAAGCTAATTATTTTATTAATAAATTATATTATATAATATATATTATCTAATTGTTACATCATGTTACGCGTCTTATTTGTAACAACCTCAATTTGATCCAATCATATCTGCCGATTATTGGAATTGGATCCCCAATTTATTATTAAACACATGCAACCATTATATATGTCAATTACTTAACTCAACTTCAAAAACAACCTGAAAAATAAAATTTACTAATTTTTTTCGCATCAAATCTATCTCCTCTTTATAAAAATCCATCTCTTTAAAGGTAAATTTAATTATTATATATAAAGTATATTTAGCTTAATATTTACCTTTTATTCATTTTTTATTTAAATAATATGAATCTAAATATTTGTTTTCTCTCATTACCAGTAACTCCAACAGTTCTTGATTTAAGATTTGAATGTAATGTATATAAAAAAGTTTAAAATAAACATTATCATAAAAAATACATTATATACAAATGTTGATACTTTATTTAAAAATATTATACATTAATTTAAAAGTATTTTAGTTTATTATATTCATAAATGATTGCTAAAAAAATATAAACAGATAGATAAACAAATAGATTTATTCTAGCTATTAAAAGTCAATTTTATACAATGTTTAAAAATTACATACATCATTATTTAGCTACACTCCCTTCCAAAAATATCTGACCACCCGTCAATCATTACAAATCCTAACATATTAAAATTTGAATTACGCCACAACTAATACATATAAATAAAAAATTCTTTTTTTCTCATATAGGTGCAGTTACAAATAGTTTGAAAATTAAAAAATCTTTTTTTAAAAAATATGTCTAAAAGGAGTCAACTTTCAGATTTTAAACGAGAAGAGATTATTGAACTTTGAAAAGGAGGTCATAGTGAAAGAAATATTGAATCTATCCTCCAATATTCTAAGTCAACCATTCATGATATAATAACCAGTTACAAAAATAAAAACCAAATTACAGCTATTTCACAATCAGGCAGGCCATTAAAATTAGCAGAAAGAGATGTTAAACATCTTATAAAAATCATTAAAGAAAACCGTCAACAATCTTTAAATGAAATAACAGAAAAATTTAAAGATTTATTAATAAATTCAGTATGTCAGAATACTGTAAGAAGTGTTTTACATTCTGAGAGTTTTTTTGGTCGAGCAGGTAAGAGAAAACCATTAGTTTCTAAAGTAAATTGTAAAAAAAGATTAGAATGGTGTCATAAAAGAAGAAATTGGGATTCTAAATGAGATTCAATTATATGAAATGATGAATCCCATTTTTTATTATTCCAAAATGATGCTCATCATTAGGTTTGGCGTAAACCACATGAAAAATTTGATGTAAATTGCTTAATTCCAACAGTAAAATCAGAAAATCAAGGTGTTATGGTATGGGAATGTTTTGTGAAAGATAGACTTGGTCCTTTAATTCAAGTTCCTGGTAGAATTACAGGTTCTGTATATATTGATATGT